TGGCATTCCCAGCTTAAGTTTTGGTCAATATGCACTCCAAGAGATTTTGCCGTTGACACTTGCATCACGGGATGGTCGTTTATCATAAAAGAAGGAGTTTCAGAAAGCTTTGATAGCTTCTGCCTCGACCCAACTAACATAAACTCAGTTTTAGTCAAGTTAAGGGTCAGTTTGTTAGCCGATAGCCATATATACACCTTGTTTAAATCGTCTTTAACGCAGTCATTTATGAGTTTTAAATCTGCGCTGGCATAGGTTAGGCTGGTATCATCGGCAGGGGGGTAGGACTGGCATGTACACGGAGATTTTTGTTTCATGAATTTTACAACGTTTTGCCTTTTGATTTTTTAATTTAATTTTTTTTTTTGGAAAACGTTTTCTTTACCCACGACATTCATCCACACCCACACCCACGACCCACGACCTCTACCCACTACCCACGACCCACGACATTTAGCTACACTCTTTCAGAAGATCTCATAGGGGCAGATTACGTCATTTACGTCAGGCGGTAAGCGGACCCTCGGTGTTACTAGAAGGTATTTTAGGAATACCCCAGTTGCCTGTTTATCTAAGCTTTATTCTAGTTTTTTGAGACCAAAACTGGAGTAGGTAAATTCTGTTCAGTTAGAAGCTCTGCCTACATAATTATGATCTAGCGCATTGCAGCTAGGATTTAGAGTGGTAACTAATGTTAACAAATTGGAGTGGCCATCCCTTGAATTTAGGGGAATTTTCTCTCCGTAAGGAATGTTTTCAGCTTATATATGAAAATGTGGATATCGAGATAGAGAGAGAAGGTATCTTTGGTACTCCTTTGCCTCGAACCTCAAGGATTGGCAATGGTAAATTATCTTAAAGCCTCATTCAAATTGCAACCAACATGCTAATTCCCAAGGGCAATTAAACGATGGAATAAGCTCCCCGAGAACATCGTTGACTGAAATAGAGAAAAATTTTAAATGCAAGGCCGGTAACCTCATTGAAATTGGCCAGTGTTTAGATTACACTATTTATTGATATGATTTGATTATATTGCAAAGAATGAGAACTTTCTTTGCGCTAGGTAATCGCAGATCTGGAACACCATCGTTACATTACCGGACGACGGTTTCTTGATCACGCGGACACCAATTCTGGACCCAGCCTTAGAGCCATACTTGGTGAAACCCGCATCAAATGCTTAAACGTTCACAATCAACTTGACACATTAAATGCCTCATGCCGGATAAAATCGGGGGAAAGAGTTTTTTGTGCCATTCTGGCAGTAATTATGGAAAACAGAGCGAAAGCACAGAGCGATTATAAGCTAATTTTTCTAAGTAGTTAAATCTATCTTGCAGCTCTCTATGTTGTCAGTTTAAAATGTTCCTGGTTTATTTGCAGTGTTTTTATTGTGTTGTATTAGGTTCTTGAAACTTACGATGATGGATTATTCTGATGAAAACTTGAACTTCTTCAGAGTTTGTGATATAACTGCCAACGTTATCACCGAAGGATTACGTTGCGTTTTCAAGCAAGAAAGGGACAATAAATTTCAGTCAACTTTTGGAAAGTGGAACGATACGATTCAAAACGGACAGGACTTCGAGAAACAGGAACCAAGCAAAAGCAAAAAAAAAATGCAAAGTTACTAAGCATTATGATCAATGGTAAAACGGAAGAATGGGATTGTACAGCATTGCGTTTTGGGATATTGTACTCAAACAGCATAGGGACAACACTAAACCCCGTAACTGAAACTCATGTAAACAGTCTTCGAGAGTTACGTAATGAGGTTTTTGCCCATATATCAAAAGGTGCCACTTCTGATGCCGACTTCCAAAGTTTCATTTCAAGAGTAGAGGTGGCTTTCTTGGGATTAAACCTGGATGTTGAGAATCTCAGAGTCAGCGCACATCAGAAAAGCTTTCCTAAAACTGAGCGAATATTGAATCAGTTAAACGAGGAGCAGAAACTAGTGAGCGCTCTACAGCAAAAATCATCAGCACTTGAAGAGGAGCTCAGTTTTAAGCCTAAGACGTTTCTAGGCAATCTCCCACCTAAGCCAAGCCATGTGATACAAGATCGCCAATCTGAGATTTCAACAATTCTACAACATATGAAAGAGCTAAAGAGCAACTCTAACGGAGAAATCACCACAATCTATCTTTCTGGTAATCCCGGTTGTGGAAAAAGTCAGCTTGCTAGAATGGTTGGGAAAGCATTCTACAAACACGTATCAACCAATGACCTTCCTTTTGTTGCCACGTTGAACGCAGAGACTCTTGAGACACTTTTTAATTCATATGACAGCTTCAGCAGAGCACTTGGATGTACAGAGTACGCTGTTAGTAGAATCACCACATCCAAGGACAAGACTGAAGAAAAGTTAGGGCAGTTCCAAAGGCTTGTATCGCCAAAAATGCGAGAGTCCTCAACGTGGCTTCTGATAATCAACAACGTCGTTGACCTGAAAACTGTTCCCCTATTTTGGCCTTCATCAGGAAGTAATGAACATGGAGACGGCCATGTACTCGTTACTACTCAAGACAGTGACGCCATCCCGAACGATGCTTTACATAGCTGGTCCATGTGTCTGAGTAGAGAAATGAATTCTGAGGATGCCGTAACTCTACTCACTGACGCCTCCCAGATGAAGGATTGTAAAGACGTCGAGAAGGTTGCAGAGGCTCTTAAAGTCCTGCGGCCAGTCGATGATCTTTTTCTTTGTGTCAGACTTTCCAGTCGCACATGGCGCTGCCGATGTAGTTGGGGGCGTTGCTGGTCCGAGAACTTGGCGTAAACGGAGCACTTCTAGTTCTAACGCCAGCTTTTCTTTTTCCTGCTTCACCAGCTCTAATGCTTTATCCAAAAGTTGTTGTTTTCTTTCTGAAGGCGGATGCCCGAGGACAGGCCCAAGGGCTGGTTCGTCGTCGCGGAATTGAGCGTAATGCTCGAATAGTTGAGCTTGCGGCGACGGTGGAAATGCGTAATCCTGCAGTTGGGGTTTGGACCTGGATTTCTGCTTGGATTTTTGCGACATGACTGAGAGTGGAAACAACGAAACGCTAGAGATTGACTATAAAAGTCGAGAGGGCGTTCGTTCCCGGAATGAGATAAGCGAAATAAGCGATGTCTTGCTCAAAGCTACGTGGAGCGATCTGAAAGCCGATACACTAAACCCGCGGAAGACTGGCCCGAAAGGGGCGTGTTCTCTATAGCAATTAGCAATCATCACCCGTGGTGATCCTTGTACGATTATCAACCTCTGGCGCTGGCGTGCGCTGGTTGGTACGTGTCTAACGTCCGTTCTCATGGTGTATGTAACTTCACCTGGGCGCGGTATCTTAGCAAATTGAAAGATGGCAAAAAAGAAACAATGGGAGAAATCAAGAAAAAATGCGAAAGCGGGTACACGACATCAATGCCTGTCGCTGTGCGAATGGCTGTGGAAAGAACTGTGACAAGTGAGCCAGCATTACTGCATACTTTTCAGTTCCTTTCTATCTGTGCTCCTGCTCCAATCCCGTTAGAAGTTGTCATTGAGTTCGTTGCTGACCGAATGCCTGACCTTGATGCTGAAGACATAGCCCCAATATTGATGGCTTCAAGTCTTGTTCAAATTTCATGTAAAGGAGATAGTAGGCCAACATTGTGGCTTCACCAGGTGGTAAATAGAGTCATTAAAAGTAATGCAAAAGTCAAGATGCAAGCAGGGAAACCTGAGCTTGAAATGATCTCAACAGCGCTTGGACCACTTCACAAACTTACGAAAGAAGACAGCTCTAACTCCAAGATATTCGCTGGACATGTGAGCGCTTATGTATCCTACGTTATTTCCTTTGGCCACAGTTGTTTAAATCTTTATGAGGAAATGAGCAAAGTGACTCAATTAAGTCACTTCCTCGAGTGCTTTATTTCTTGCGCCACAATGTGCCTTAAATATGGAAAACTCAGTGTCGTTAAACAGTGTTTAGAAACACCAAGACAATTCATGAAGGTAAACACAGACATCGCTATCAACAAAGATGTTTCGTCCTTGTTGCATTTCTTTTGTGGCCAAGCTCTGGCAGAACAAAGTAAATTTAAAGATGCCATCGAATACTTTAAAGAGGCATTGGAAATACGGCGCCGCAGTATTGACAGAAACAGTCAAGCGGTCGCCGAGTGTCTACGCCAGCTGGGGCGAGCTAACTACAAGTTATCTCAGGGCAAGGAAGCTAGAGAATATTATAATGAAGCACTTGCCATCTTTCGTAAAAATTTTGGGGAAAAACATAAAGAGGTAGCGTAATGTCTCATTGGTTTAGGTTACTTAGAAAACAATCAAGCTGAAGCACTGCCGTATTACCATAAAGCTTTATCAATCAGTAAGGAACTTTTGGGAGAACAGAAGCAAATAGAGGCACGTTGTTTATACAACACTGGAGTAACGTGCACCTTTCTTTGTCGCTATGATGACGCAGAAAAATACCTGAACGATGCACTTGTTCTCCTTTGCGACATTTATGGAGAACGACACGAGGAAACTGCAATTTGTTTGTGTAAGTAGGGAAGAGTTCACTTATTTTGCTCCAGTTTTGACAAGGCCAGGGACTTGCTGGAAAAAGCACTCAAGATTAGACAAGAAATTGGCAACGAATTACGTGTGACACGAAATCTTTTTTTCCTTGACCAGCTAAGTCAAAAGGAAGGCGTAATAAGCACTGCCGAGGAAAGTTATACTAAAGCATTGGACACCTTTCGAAGCTTTAAATTTCCTGAGAACCACCTGTATGTAAAGGAAGCGGTGTCGGCTCTGCAGGAAGTTGAGATCAGACCTGAAATAAGGAAAAGGAAAGCCGAAGACTTGGTTGGTCGCCCGGACCAGCCCCCTAGACAAGCTATAAAGTGCTGAGAGGCTCCTTCATACCATATCAAATCCCCTAAAGCAACTTCGTATGGAAGGACAGCAGAAAGTGATTAGATAAATCGCTGTTTTGCCCTATTGGTAAAGCAATTTCTTTGACTTAAAAAGTGATTATTGAAATGTTATTTTTACCGTGCATGTATTGATTTAAGCGGTTTCTAGGACTTAGCCTGCGTGGCAGGCGTTTGAAAGGGAAGGGAAAGGGAGTTTCGAGAAAGGGAGTTTTAGGCGCGAGAGAAACGCGAGGGGCGCGCGAGGAAGGAGGGAGGGAAACGCCTGCCAGGAAACCATTGTTTTTCTCGTTATTAACATCTACCAGGCGAATGTTAAAATCCTGATTGGTCAAAATTTGATAAGATCTAAATAGCGTGTTCTAATTGGTCACCTACATGTCATTCAATAACTTGAGTGTTACCATTCACAACTAAACATATGTTGTTAGAGGGTCTCAATGGGGTGGTGGCTTTTACGGTTATCGGCTAAAATTTTGGCTCTTTTACGGCTATCGGTTATTTTTTTTTTCAGTTACGGTTAACGAGGAAGTTAAAAATTAACTTCTTTTTTTCCCAAAAAGTTAAATATTAATTAAACCGTACTTTTTTTGTATCTAAATCCAAATAAAGGTCTTCGAATCATCTCGGCAGCTATTCTTTTGAAAAATTTTAACATTTGATAGATCACACTTTTTATAAAGTATTCCACTTCGAATATATTTTACGCATAGAAATGTCAATAGTCAATTTAAAAATAATCTTTGTGAAAAAGCAAAAGCAGACACGCAAACGCCCAACTCAAGGCCGGGGATTATTCGTGTGAGACGGGTTATCCGCTTGATGATTCGCGTCAGATAGGCAATACGTGTTAATTTGAAAATGGAATAGTTTTAATTTTGAATGAACAATCCGCCTGACTTTTGAAAGACGGGATTATCCGTTCCAGAGAGCCTGTGTACAGCCGCCCCCTCCCCGCAGAAAAAATCGGAGAAGGGGTGTCTGTGGGGAAGGTGCGACTGTACACAGGCTAGTCTCAGACGGATGATCCATTTCTAGCTCTAGTGTGAAAACGGCCAATAACAAAATTCCCGTGTCCAGTGACTGTACGGGACGACTGTCCGCCGTTGCCTTGTCCGTAGGCCGCATTATTCCGCGCGGCTAATGCGTTTCGGGTCACGTGGTCCGAGCGAGTGCTCCACCGAAATGCCTTGACCGAGATTGCGTGGGAAGACACCGTACAGGGACATGATGACAGGCATGATGTCTACCGTAGCGTCAGAGAAAAACAAGGAAATGTTGTTTATCGGTAACGTGTTTTACAAACAGTGACATCTCTGCGTGTTGTTTCACTAGTGTTTCGAGAGCACGACCTCCAGAAAATTGCAAATATTAATCCCCAGCAAGAAGCCACACTTTCGCTATAGAAAAAATTAATTCCCCGAGAGAGCGCCGGAAAAGGAGCCTAATTCTTGGTTAACATCTAAAAGGCGCTTCGCCTAACGCGCGTACGCAGTCACACCAGTCGGGAAATAAAAAACGCAACCATAAGTAAATTTAGTATCTTCCCTAAAAGTAGCAAATCTAGGTAACAATTTCTTTTACGGTTAACTCTTTTTTACCCTATTTACGGCTAACGGTAAAAAATTTTCAATTTTTACGGCTATCGACTAAATTTTTGGCCGTTTTACGCCTATCGGATAACCCCATTGAGACCCTCTTGTTAGTGAAGGTGTTGAGATTTTTCTACGGGAATTCATCAGTAGTGGCCTTTAATTTCAGCTTCAAAGGAGAATAGAAAAAAACAGTTAAAGAACCGTATGAAGGAAGAGGCCTGTCAGCAGATGAGGTTTACTGACTGGTTGTGAAAAGTATTATCTCCCAACGGCTTGTCGGTTTTACTCGCCGGAAGAAAGAAACGAAAAATCATGCTGCCTGTGTGCTTGTTATCTGCTGTTTGACCCGCGATATCAACGGCAAGATAATTGAAGACGAAGTGATCTGTAACTTTTGGCGATTTTTGGTCGAGGACTTCTTCTTGCCGGTTATAAAACCGCCAGGAACTTACTTTAATAATAAATCGTTGCCTTCTTGCAGATCCTCGAAGTTCCAGTTCATGCTGATAGAAATTCAAAGAGTGCGTGACAGCAAAGTGTTTTAATTTTTCTTAGACAAACATTGCATTGAAAGTTGCGAAGAGCCGCTACATTTCTTATTTATAGTTTTCCCGTCCGATTTCTTCAGCAACAACTTATACTCGGCACTTGGCACTCGTCGTTGCAACTTTCAAGGAAGATTCCTTCGATGGACGACCGCATTTGAACTTTTTTATAGTACCTTTACTTTAGATTGCTTTAAGAAAACAAAAGGAAAACAGTACAAGAAATACGACTAGAATACGTGCATCGCGGCCAGACTTATTTGACAGCTAGTCATTCACAGTTGCGTTTAATATTTTTGTTATTTTTTTAATTAGTAGGCGGGATGGCGAAAACAATGGCTTCCTTGCGGGGGAGACTGGGCCGAGCGTCATGGCGGAAGGCCACGCGGTGTGAAGAGCAACCTCAAGAGGGGAAAACCTCGGTTATTTTGAATCAGAATTATGACTAAATCCAAAAGGGGAGAAAGAGGCTCCAGTTCTAGTTCTATTTCATCCAACACCGAATTAAAAAAAGCGAGGATGAACGAAGAAGAAGAGGAAACAATTCACTCAGGGACTTAATTCAAAACTTAACGGCGAATATGGAAAGCAACTTTGCGAAGCTGCACGAAGAATTATGTGGCCTGAGACAGGAAATGAAGGACGAAATTGGTATGTTGAAGAGCAATATTAAGGACGTGTTTTTGCCCGGAAGAAGGAAATGAAAGAGAGCACAAGGTTCAAGGACGCTTACATAACCGCCGATTATGCAAAAGCTATACAAGATGAACGAAGGATGCTAATAAAGGCGATGCTCAAGGCAAAGGAGCAAGGTACAGAGGCCAAAGTGGTTGGTAGATATCTGTACATAGGAGAACTAAAGTATGATGTAACAAACATCCCTGAGGATTTTAAGTAGATCAAAGAACGAACATAGATCTGTTCAACTAATTTACGGTACTACTGGTGCAATACAACAACAACTTCTTTAAGTCAGATTGAAGCTAATTAGATTCTGAAAAACACAATATTTAAAATTGTCGAAATGTTAGTTCCTTCTTAAAATACTTCATTTGAGTATCTCAAGGGAGTATGTTTCGGCTAGTGTTTTGGTGGTTAACGTGTGTCCCTGTATATTTTCTTTTTCTTATCTTTTAGTGTTGTATTTGAGATTTTTTCGAGTGTTTTTCTATTCTAATTTTCGCTTACTGTGTTTATGCTCTCTCTGGATTATGTCTTTGCATCTGTATTTTGTATTTGTATCTGTTTGCTTATGTTTGTTTGTTTGTCTTTTGTGTCAATGCCTATTTGTAGTTAATATACCATTATGCTTCATACATAAGAGTTCACGTCCTTTCTTAATTAATAGCTTTAGAAGTACACAACGCTGGGTTGTCCGTGGTTCCTTCTGCACTCCAAGCACTACACATTTAAGGTTAAAACTTCGCTCTAACCGTTAATTTGAAATTCGTTTCTTTAAACGTAAGGGGCATTAGCAACTTTACTAAACGTCGTACAATTTATACATGGTGTCGTAAACAGAAGGCTGATTTTGTATTTTTGCAAGAAACAAATTCAAAGAAGGAGACAGAGGTGCAGTGGAAAAATGGATGGGGTGGCGAAATACTTTTCTCATATGGAAGCCCTAATTCATGAGGTACTGCAATATTGATCAGAAACAATACCAATTATTCAGTTCTATCGACAACTCGAGATCCCCTGGGTCGTTTTATTATACTAAAAATTCAAATCGATGACAAAGTATATGTTCTTGTAAATATCTATGCACCGAACAAAGATAAGGATCTAATTCAGTTTTTTAGAAAATTACATGGCGTGCTTCAAATGGAAGACTTAGGGCGCTTTCCAGAAGTCAGAACTGGCCAGCCGGACCTCTGGCCGAACCAAACATTTTGGCAATGAAATATACTTTTTCCAAGACGTTTTACTGAAAATCATCTCCTTTTTGCATAATATTTAGGATTTGACTGATCTGGATGGTTAGTTTTGATTAAAAGAGGAATTCTCATTACGATGGGAAAGGGCTGGCCGGTCAGTTCTGACAAATGGAAAGCGCCCTTAGACTCAGAGGAAAACATTATATTAAGGGGTGATTTCAATTGTCCGTTAAATCCAGCTCTTGATAAACACGGTGGTGTCATGATTCTAAGAAGAGCAGCAATTGATAGTATTGAAACTTTACAAAGCGAACTGGACTTAGTTGATATTTGGAGAATTAAGAACCCTCAAACAAG